TTCACTCACTCTTTGTGTAGATGTTCCATACTTGCTAACTTTACTGTGTTAAATTATTCATTTCTGATGTCACGTGTGTCTGGTCATGCTAACAGCGGTAAAACTTCCTGCAACGCATGATTGCCGTAAGAGACGACTTTGCTTGTCATAAGAGGCGACTAACAGGATTGGATGGTGCATGTCATCGTATCCCAATTACGTAGATCAATGCTCACGATATCAATCACTGTGTGGTCCATACTCGATTATTTACAGACCATCGTCATATAGCTGGAATTTTGCTGTGTGCGGCATTAAACAACTAACAAACAAAACCTCAATACTGAAGAGAAATCTGACTGAGTGTGTGTTTGAATGACTAAAGGGATTTATTCGTTACCAAAGAGAGACCTAGTTTTTTAAAAAAACAAATATTTTTTTTATTAATTTTTTTACCAAGGCAAATATGTTAATTTAATATACAGTGTATGATACATGTACGGCTTTTTAACAAATAAAAACAGCTTAAAACGGACAAGGGACATTAGATCCTTGACATGGACAATAGACAATAGATGGGAAAGACTGACTTGGTAGAACGCAAGATCAGTCTTCAACCTAATGCAATATCTAAACAAAAGAGGCCATACAGGCTTCCCCCAGGCAAACGTGAAGTATTGCGTCAGTTTGAAGATTTATTACCTCAGAGTAGTATAACAGTAGTAGATGAAGGAGAGGATTTACCATCAGTCGTTGTTCTTGTAACTAAACTAAATAAGCCTAAAGCTGGTCTTAAACCTGGAACTAGAGAGGCTTGACTTTCACTTTGCAGATTTTGTTGTAACTTTAGACATCTCAACTCGGAAACTCAGGAATTCAGATATTCTATCCCGGATATTCAAGAGTTGTCAGAATAGTTTTCAGAAACGGTACCTCGATCTCGACTACTTTGGTTATACCGTCTGGGTTCTTCCAAATGGAGATTACGCCTGAGTCTCAAGGAAGCAGCCTTTAGAACCTGCTTGGTACTTACAGGTTCTTAAGATAACTTCACTGGGAAAACTACTTCGTCCTTCATTCCAAATGCGATGCACGCTGAACAGTCTCACAAGTGGACTCAAACCTCTCTAAAAATGACTCGAACTCTCACGCAAGTTTTCATTGCAAAGCGTTGAAATGTGAACGACCCCCCAGAGCAAGAAAGAATCCTCAGCGATTATGTGACTCCGACCATGTTGATCCGAGTGAAGGACTCTGGTTAAATTCTGTTGACAGTGGGATGAATGGCTATCACAAGACAAAATGGGTCTTGGGACAGTGCCAAATTGATGGTCTGTCTGAATACTTGGTACATTTATCTGGAAATCCTGCCCATCAGTCCCTATGGGTGAAGAAAGACGAACTTATGAAAAAAGCTCTTAGAAATGTTGAAAAGTGGCCACTCCCCCTAGTTTATTAGTTTTTAAAGGTTATGATACAAACGTACGAGGGGTGTTCATTAAAGATTTCCCCTAAACCACTTAGGGTTATCATATTTGGTTGAAATTTCACATGTGTAATGTCACATGTATCTATGGGTTATGTCTGAATTTGCGGCATCGAACTATTAATCTTACCACTTTTACAGGTGTTATGATCGAGTAAGGTGTGACAATGGAGTCAGAAGAATACCGAGCAGTGATTAGGTTTTTATATTTGAAAGGTCGCACACCAAAAGAAACTTTCGATGAAATGAAAGCAACTTATGGGGAAGATGCCCCATCATATGACGTTGTTAAACACTGGCATCGCCAGTTCAAGTGTGGTCGGACATCTGTGGAAACAGCTGCCATTCCTGGTCGCCCCCATTCAGCCATTGATGAGGACACTATCCATCAAGTGGAGACCGCCATTTTGGCAAACCGACGTATAACTGTTCGCCAGTTAGCACAAGATGTCAAGATCAGTGTAGGGTATGTGGAAAAAAATCATCCATGACAATTTGAACATGCATAAGGTGTCTACACGATGGATTCCCAGGTTGCTCACACCTTTCCAAAAGCAGGAACGAGTCAATTGCTCAAAGAATCTTTTGGACATGTGCCAGAAAAAAACAGGCAAACTTTTTTGACAGACTTATCACACAGGATGACAATGGGTCCATCATTATGATCCTAAGACTAAAGTTCAGTCGATGCAATAGAAGCATGTGGAGTCACCACCCCCAAAGAAGGAATGTGTCCAACCCTCTGCAGGCAAGGTCATGCTCACGGTGTTTTGGGACCAGCGCGGAGTAGTGATGATGGATTTCTTGGCAAAGGGTACCACAATTACAGGAGCTTATTATGCTTCACTGCTGCGGAAATTGCGGGACGCCATTAAGCTTAAGAGGCGTGGCATGCTGACCAAGGGTGTCCGTCTCCTGCAAGATAATGCTCCAGTACACAACTCTCATGTTGCCCAGACAGAAGCGCGGTCCTGTGTCTATGAAATCCTTCCACATCCTCCATACTCTCCTGACCTTGCACCATCTGACTTCCACCTCTTTCCAACCATGAAGTCATGAAGATGATGAAACACTGATATCTGAAGTCAAGTCCTGGTTTGAGACGCAAAATGAGGGCTTTTACAAGCGAGGTCTCAATAGTTGCATAAAACGATGGGAGAAGTGTGTAACTCTTAGTGGTTCCTATGTGGAGAAAGACTAATACCTATGCCAAGTTTCATTCCACTAGGTCCATCGGAAGTTGGACAGGGGAAATCTTTAATGAACACCCCTCGTAGGTGTAGGAAGATGTATGTAATTGTTGGCCATAATCACAAAAAGTATTTCTTTGTGTTTTAATTGTTTACATTTTTATAAACTTCACTGACACATTTTCAAACTATCTTGTCTCAACAAAGCCATTTCCCTACATAACCCAATGCAAACCTGTGCATTTTAGGCCAGCTTGCAGTTCTAGGGGGATAACTGTGTCACCCCTGTTAGCAGTTTGCGTTCCACGATCATGATGCAAGGGAGTCTGAAATGAGTCAATCCTATTAGCTGTTTGTGTTCCACAATTAGGAAACAAGGGGGATAACTGTGTCACCCCTGTTAGCAGGTCATGATGCAAGGGAGTCTGAAATGTGTCAATCCTATTAGCTGTTTGTATTCCACAATTATGATACAAGGGGAATAACGCAGTCCATTATGTTACCATGACATCACTTTATTTGACATTATTTTTCTCATTATTTTTAATTACTTAATGAAACATTTTACATACTAGAATTTACTTTCCCTGAAGTAGACTTGGACTATCGAATTGTAATTATCATCTCCTACCTATGCTGGTGCATTTCCAAACTCTGTCTTGTCACCTTGTTTATAAGGACATGAATTTACTTATAGAATTTAGTCTATTTCTGTGAGCAGTTTAATATAGCTAACTGCTATATCTGGATAACTGAATTATAGATTTTTATTGCTGATGTATTGGGACAAGTTTATGTGTGAGGTGTATGTATCAGTGAAACGCGTTATAGGGCCCATGTCATAGTGTATGAATGGGAACAACACATCTGTCAACATATTTATACATTTTAAAGTAGTGTACTAACTTCACTTGCAGTAAACCTGAAGATCTTCTCATGATGTACTTTAGAATTGTAACAATTTGACATTTGACTAGTTCAAAGCTTTAGTGCTCCCATATGTTATCTGCAGGCATGTTGTCGTAGTTTATCTTTGAAAAAGATGACGTGATTGTCACCTAGAGTGGTCGTCGCCATGTTGTAACATTGTTCCTCAACTTCCTGACACCTGAAGTTTTTGTTATAAAGTGATTGTTTTTGTTGAAAAAGTTGTTTATTTATTTCAATGCACAGATATATGAGTATTGACATGGAATGCACGCGATCGCTGTCTCGCTGAAGACCATGCATCGAAACATTCACGATCGTCCCATTTATGTTATCTGCAGGCATGTTTTCGAAGTTTATCTTTAGAATTGTAACAATTTGACATTTGATGCTCGCATCTGTTATCTGCAGACATGTTGTCGTGTTGTAACATGATTGTTCCTCATTTTCCTGACACCTAAAGTTATTGTTATAAAGTGATAGTTTTTGTTGACAAAGTTGTTTATTTATTTCAATGCACAGATATATGAGTGTCATCCACACTGGTATTGACATGGAATGCACGTGATCGCTGTCTCGCTTGAAGCCCACACATCGGCGGTTTCACGATCGTCCCCTTTATGTCACTTTGTTGTGATTTTACGAAGCTTATGTTTTTAAAGTCTTCCGCACAACCCAAAAGCAATATCTGAAATGCAACATAAGATTCACAAACATTACCATTTTCAACGAGATTGGAACATTTATTTCTACTAACCCGTGAAACATTATTCCACTGAGAATTATCAGCAAATGTAGACCTTTATTTCAAACGTGTTTTTGGTAAGTGTTTCGATTTTGAGAAAGGGGCGTCAGTGATAAAAAGTGTCAGTTGAATATGAAATAGGCAGACGGGAGGATTGCACTTCATTACACACATGAAAACTGTGAAATAGGCAAAATGTTGTTTTTTCTGCACACAAAACCTAATCAACAACGCTTTGACCTTTGAATGCGACATACGTAATTTTACGTGTTCCCGAGTCTTCAAACAAACCTCCTATTACATATTCACTAGTCTGTTTTCTCACACCAATAGAGAAGTTTACAGCCACGATTATTCACTATTTTATCCTCAGACCCAAGAGGGAGAATAGCGTCCGATAGATAATTGAGTTCTTCGTCGACTGGTAGGTACGTATCATCATTGTCAATAAAAAGATTATTTTTTTATGTGATACAACTTATCCCTGGTCAGTGACATGTACCCCATTTTGAAAATGTTGACAGTAATTTCCAACATGTACGAAAACACAGACAACAGTGACTGTAGCATAGAGAGCGAGCACAACAAACCCTTCCTCTTTTACACGAACCCAAAGGACGCTTCATGCATCAACAACATATGACTTGCATCCACAATACATCGTTTTCAGACAAGTTGAATAATATTACGTTCTATCCGCGGTTTTCATTGCCGAATTTTCAGCTAAGTACAAGGTTCACTGTGTAAAATTCAAACAAGGCACAAGGGGGTTAGGAAACATGAACACTTTACTGTGCAGCAATATCCTTTTTAACACCACATATGAGTCACAACCTGGGACAGTATAGCATCCTGAGACAGCGCCACACTTTAACGGACAATAATGAAACGATATATATTTTACATATGAGTTTAATGGGTTTTTGTATCCAACGATTCTGTGGTTTTAAGATATCTTATCTGTGAAACAGATTGTAACAAAGGGGCCTTGATAACATGCTTGATTCGCAGAGCTATCAATAGTATCATGTCCTGAACATTATTGACATCCCCTTACGGCCATCCACCATCCAAACTGACCCCGTTCTCTTTCCCGAACAGTGACGTCCAAGTAGCCTTCACTGCTTAGAAGACAAAGCCTGTGCCGACGTCCGAAATCTACTGTTTTACATACGAAGGAAGTTTCTTCCACACATGCTGACACGCACATCTTCATCGCATCTTCCAGCCCTCCAACGACCTTAATTCTCTTCCTGTTATGGCCCTTTGTGGTCAGTTCCTTATACGGCGTCATGGTGTGTCCATAACGCTTGCATTCTGAAAAGTGAGTGTGAGATGGCTTAAACGCAGCATTGAGCACAATTTCTATATCAGTGCAAGGCTCTTGTGGAAGGAAGGCGAACGTCTTGTGGGTCACTAGCGATTGCTATTTTGGGGAAACATACAGCCACGCTGCTGAAAAACTAAGCTTCATAATCGGAGGAACCTAGGATCCCGACTCATGATCATCAGATGTCTCTTGGCATCTCAGGGTCACGTACCTCAACCATTAAAGTGAGTGAGTGAGTTAATAGTTAACGTCACATCGGCAGTATTTCAGCCATATCGTCAACCATTAAAACATATCTAACCCCTCAATCTGAGAACGACACTAACTATTGTGAGAATGGCGACTCTAACTAACGTTTGGAAATGAACATGCAGGTTTTAATGTTCCAAACCAAACCCTCTTCCGCTAAGACGCTCACCTCTGTCGCAGGAGTTACGTCGGATGTTGTGGCTGTATCCAGGGTGACACAGACACTGTCCCAGGAAGCATAACGTCATAGTCACGTGACAGTCAGCATCACGAGTGCAGTTCATGCCGATGGCTTGAGTTAAAAATGATAAAAATTCACATTTGAAATAGTATTTAGTCACATAATGACATTTTACTATGAAACTAAGTTAAACCCAAGCATGGAGACTTCCGGAATGCATTGGGCAACATAGGCGTGAATGTTCATATTAATATGTGTAAGAAGTGTAACAAGAGTGAGTGAGTTGGATTCCATGTCACTTTAAAAGTATTGCAGTTATGTCAAGGTGTGTCAGGTCTTAGACGTTTACAACTTTAGTGAAAGCCACGATGGTGCTGACAAACCTAGCCACACAATCGGGGCGAACCTGGATTCGAACCCACGATCATACGTTTCAGGCGTGCCTAAGGGACGTAACTGTGGCGCCTTAGACGACGTGTAACAAGAGGGATTAGATTAGAATGTGCGTGGAGAGTAACAGGAGAGTTGTCTTTCAATTTCATAAAACATAATGTTCTGATCTTTGTGTAGCATTAGCTAAAGTGAGTGAGTGAATATGGTTTTACGCCGCTTTTAGCAATATTCCAGCAATATCAAGGCGGGGGACACCAGAAATGGGCTTCACACATTGTACCCATGTCGGGAATCGAACCCGGGTCTTCGGCGTGACGAGCGAACGCTTTAACCACTAGGCTACCCGACCGCCCCCATTAGCTAGAGATACAACCTGATTTTAATGAGATTGGTTATCGTTGAAAATGTGCTTGTGCGAGCCATCGATAAGAAGGGCATGCATGTATAAATTGAAATAACCGCTTATAAAAACAACACACAAACTTTAATGCCTACGTAGATCAATGAGGTCAAGCAATATGTCCCTTACAACTTAAATTTCATTGAAATAATAGCGATTCAACACTTTCCATAATCATAAGAAATCAGTCCTTCACACGATTCCGACTTTATCATCAATAAATGTTTCTGAATCACTATCCACAAAGTCCATGTTTCTTCTCTTCTTAAAATTTATTAAAGCTTTGCAGGGGTGAGGGTTTTGGTTGTCGTTATTGTCGTAAATATTTTAGCAAGCAGGGATGAGGATATGTGTCTCGTTATTGTCGTAAATAGCAAGCAGGGATGAGGATATGTGTGTCATTATTGTCGTAAATAGCAAGAAGGGATGAGGATATGTGTGTCGTTATTGTCGTAAATAGCAAGCAGGGGTGAGGATATGTGTGTCATTATTGTCGTAAATAGCAAGCAGGGATGAGGATATGTGTGTCGTTATTGTCGTAAATAGCAAGCAGGGGTGAGGATATGTGTGTCGTTATTGTCGTAAATAGCAAGCAGGGGTGAGGATATGTGTGTCGTTATTGTCGTAAATATCATGCACGTGGAGACTCACGTGGGCGTCATCGTTATATATACATAGCACAGACAGAGAGGAACATGATCATGAGCCTGAGTTTGGAAAACATGGATTGTCATCACTCGTGATTGGAACACACAAATTATACAAATATGTTTTCTTTTCATTGAATACTTACCAGCATAGCTTACACACAGCGGTTGGCCATATCTTCCCACCGTGCACTGCGAATTTGGGCCACAGGAAGCGTCAGCACAAGCTCCGGTCAGTGGCTGAAAATAGAAACAATTTTTATACGGTTTTATAGATATACTGATTCACAAAAATACACCACAAGTAAACTAATATTATCTCTATTAAAACTCGAGTGGCGAAACTGATTTCCCTTTAGATGTGGATGGTATATCTAATTACGCCACTGGTGTCGGTTATGTCAGTTGATGGAGCAGGTTTGTTTTCTGCCATGTGCACTGGCCGAGGTTTGGACGATTCGATTTATGAGAAGATTGAGCCTTGGCATTTTGTGTCTTCGTAGCCTGCTCCTCCAACCCCCACTTGCAGAGGAGATCACTCCAGTGAAGCGTCCTCTTCACGTAAACGTTACGTCATGCCATGTGTTCTTCAAAGACTCAAATGATTGTGTTTGAAGGGAATATGTATGATACCAGGATCAGACGTTTTACAAACGTCCGTTGCTACAGAGCTGACCTGGAGTGACACTCATCACATATTGCTGGAGTTGTGCAGCAGTGTCAGACTCTGTTGATGTGTTACCCTGGCCTGCAAGAACCCCTGATCTGTCACCAATTGGACATTCTTGGGATGAAATGGAACGACGTTTGTGACGTCTTCCAAATCCTCAAACAACGTTTAGGTGTCTCAGTGTGGCGAGGGTGCCTGAATCAATGCACAAGGCAGACACACACGCTACTGTCTGCAAACTTAATTTTGAACCAATCGTGTGACATGACTCATTTGCATGTGTTAAACAGCTCTTCACATAGACTGTCGCTCGTAACCATTCTAATTCCATCCCGACTGTAAAATATTTCGACCGATTCTCCTTGTTTCTGGAACGTCAAATAGCTTTTACATTTGAATATTTTAAGAATACAATCCATTGAAAAATTCAATTATGATTAATTCATCTCATTTTGCAAAATATTGCAAAATATTGTAAAATATTTTTGAGTGCACAGTCGGATGAACTGGGGGCGTTCGTAAAAAAATACAGTTTGCCGTAAATCTACATATATTGCTGCGCCTCAGATCACAGACAAACCCGTGCCTCCTGTCAACAAAGCATATAAAGAAGATCAAGACAAGGTGTGAGTGACGTAATTGTCCCCCGTTGCATCAGAAGTTCATAAAATCCTTCATACAAACCATTTTCCAGTCTTGAATGTTACTAAAGAAGATGCCACTGCGGACAGTGAAGCTGGGGGTAGTTTTCTTCAAGAGTTGACATGCGCGTTTCTCTGGGTCAAAGGTGAAGGACAGGCATGGCGGCAACAGTTTGCATTCAGCTGCGCAGTCGTACATAGAGGGCGCACCAACAGAGTCTATGTAATCATGATCCTTGCCAGGAACAACTTCATGGACTGGAGGATGAACACAACCATCATCACTCGCCTGTTCAGTCAGAGAGGGGGCACACAGACAGGCAGTGACCGCAATTATGGTCCACATCTGTGTTTGGAGGCTGAAAATAGACATGTAAGTGACAGTGATTAAGGGCATTAACACATCATAGATCCAAGACCCTATTAGGTAATATTATTCTGTCACCAAAATTAGTATATTGAGTTTAAATATATTCATTTCAAATAGTGAAATGTGCTTAAATTTAAAAATCCTTGTATCACAGATGAAATACTCAAGTACCATACTGTTACTAGTTTTGTTGATTTGAAAATAGAGATAGAATTGAATTGTATTTTGTTATGTATGCTGATACAATTCGTATTTGTGGCTAGTATTTGATATCAGCAAAATATGATTGTATTGTTTTTATTCATGCTTTGATGTATATTATGTGTTTTCATATTTTTCCATGAGTATCATATAAAAGAAATAACAGTGATTCGTGATAAGATGTATATAAGTATTGAGACAATTTAAATGCTATTAAGAAGTTTTCCATATTTTGTGATAATGTAAAACATTCTTTTTTTGAGGGACTTGTTATGTGTGCTAAGTATGTTTCGAAATGTGGTGTAAACTTGTATAAGTTGATCAGTATATTAGGTGCAATTAGACTTGACTTGCTGTATGGGGTTTTTATACCCCTTTACTTCATCCTCACTGGTGACAATTTCCGGGATCGGGTGGTCAGGCTCGCTGACTTGGTTGATGCATGTCATCGATGCCAATTGTGCGCATCGATGTTCATGATATTAGTCACTGGATTGTCTGGTCCTGACTCGATTATTTACAGACCGCCGTCATAGAACTGAAATATTGCTGAGTGCGGCGTAAAACAACAAACCAACCAACCAACCCAAGAGAGCGGAAGTGCGAAGACGTTCATACAATGTTTGGCCCCCTATCTATTAAGGTTCATACCCAAATGTGGGGCGGTCGGGTAGCCATACAACAACCAGCTGTATCGCAGAAAAAAATAGTTCATCAAAAAGAGAGGCGACATGAGCGTATGTATGCAGAGCAACTTACTCTTTAGAAACAGAAACACCTGACACAACATATGTATTTAAATAATATCACCATTAGATAAGAAAGGTCTGTTAAGAACTACCTCAGTAAGTCAGTCACAATGACAGCGCGTCGCAATACATTCACATCAAGTACAAGACGTCAAAATGGCCGACACGATAAATGTGACGGCAGAGATTTCAGAAGTGGCGCTACATGTTTTAGTCATCATTGATCAGTTGGCAGATCACTGAAAGGGGATTAAAGATGTGTCAAAGTTAAACTCATAAATTGCTGTAAACTGGTACTGTCAGCCTCGACACGGATCTAGTCGATACTACCATAGTTTGGATATGCACTTTTTCGTTTTGTTTACTTGGATGTTCAGCGAGGATATTCGTAAACGATCAAACTCTCTGACGTTTCTCAACGTATACTAAAACGCCGAGTTCAATAATAAAGGGTCGAAATGTTCAGAAAGAACACTTCTGTATGTATTCATGCTAAGGAATTCCCAGGGGCTCCCCAGGAATGTGGAAGTACTCCGTCAGTGTTTACATGTACGTCATTTCAAGAACACGGTCTCGTGAAAAACGTATGAACGTCAAATTGTGTCGTTCATACACTTATGAACGTCACATTCGCGGTCATGTGACCGACCTCTCGTCCAATGGAAAAGCCGTGTATCGTGGAAAGTTCAAATTAAAATATTATTTAGTCTTTACTTGATGTTAGGGTTTTTTACACCCCTTACTTCATCTTCACTGGCGACAATTTCCATGCCCCAAAAGAGCAGAAGGTCCAGGGTACGGTCCCTGGCCGCGTCCCAAAATAGCACTTGTTGTTACTCTGCTTGGTACTCGACATGAAGGGGCTAAAACAAGGACGGTCGGCTCGGTATCAGTATACTTTGTCTGAGTGGGGCATTCCTGTTATTCTGCGGCATGGTATCTCAGTTGGTTAGCACTATAAATCAGCATTCGTCCAGACTAGTACAAGCAGCCACACACACACACACACACACACACACACGCACACGCATACACGCACACACGCACGTGCATGCACGTCGCTATATAAGTCCAACAATCCTTGACGCGATGTTATACCCAATTGACGTCACCTCACCTCCATGTCTCAAAGATACGTCCATACTATTTATCATGTCTTTGAAAGTCATTTAGAAGTGATACACATAAGGAAGAGAATTTATGGATGTCAACTACTTGATTATGAGGAACACAACGTTTCGGAGTACATGCTTATTCCTTCATCGGGTTAACGTTTCAGAGTATATGCTAGCTCCTTCATCAGGTGAATTCACCTGATGAAGGAGTAAACATATACTCTGAAACGTTGTGTTCCTCATAACCAGCTACAGCTCCAAGACATCTACCCTCTCCATTTTGTTGTATCTTAATCAAAAGAAAAGGCCTCTCGACATAGCTCCGGCCAAGTCTAAGCCTCAGCAGGTTCCCCCTGCCCCAGTACCAGCTCCCACTGCTCCACAGAGCAAAACCGAGGAAGAAGACGACTTCAATCTCCACGATGGAGGAAGTCCTTTCTCCTGCCACTCATCCCCGAGTCGCAGCCAAGTAAAGAACAGGAACACATCCCCTCTCCCGAAGCCTTCTCCCGCCCGACCCCTCCCAAGTCCTTTTTATGCGTCAAGCGTTAGGTTTTATTCCACGAGCCGGAGGCGAGTGGTATAAAACCTAACGAGGGACCGCCACCTCGGCACCTCCCACTCTTAACGACAACTACGCCCTGACAACTCCTACCAAGGAGCACAGCTCTGGAGTGGCGCTAGAGAGGGAGCCTCGTCCCAGAGGATCCTGGACCACCACAAGGATCCCCCCACCCATTGTATGCACCGGGAATCAAACGGGCGCATGTACCTCAGTGCAAACCCCGGTCCAACTATGGTCATGGTACAATACTTGGGGGGGAGAAGAGATTCGAGCACGTGTTGAGCTCGTTCCAGGATCTCTCGGAACACCTCTCAAATTGTGACATGGCAGCGTCCCCTGGATTCATAGGAAACGCTGCTGCCCAGCTCACAATGAAGAAATTCCAGGGATCGGGCACTATCGAGGAACGCATCACCAGGAGGCTCCTGGCCGGCCAACTCTCCTAGTTGCTCCCACCAAAGGACTTGCCTACTCCGCGCCTGCCACTCCTGACCTCCCATCCACTCCAACCCAAGCCCAACTTCTTCCACCTATTATGATATATGTCCCTTAAAATTGTTTGATTGACACTACTTAGAAGTTGACGGATGATAAAGTAGACACAATTCATGGATAACAACTTCTTTCATACTATAAAGCGACGTTTCGGTATAGATCCTTATACCGTTGTCAAGCAAGACTGAATGAGGAACATTGTACAGAATATACATAGTAGGTGGGGTATTAACGCCAAAGAAATATCACCAATGGAGGTGTCCATCCCTCTGTAAATCCAGTGGAAGATAACATTATTATAGGCAAACCGCTACGATATGATAGTAAGAAATCGGAACTCTATTTCCATAATATCAACATTGAAACTATTGCACGCCTCACTGAGTGCACACAGTGTGCTCGCGAAAGCGACGCTGACCCACATATGGTGAACGAGCTGGCTCCTGACATAGTGCACGTGCTGGTGGACGCTGCAGGCACACCTTTTGGCGTAAGGAGCATTCGGGCGAATCGTCCCAAACAGAATAAGAAGAAAAAATCTAAACCGTGGTTTATGGCGTCAAAAGGCGACAGAGAGGTTACACACGTACAAAGAAAAGGGGGCATAACTCCGCCATGCTTAGCACTAGTTTATTGTAACTCAGGTCACTTGGTGAGATATAGCTGTGGGTAAGGACAATATATTTTCGTGGTGATTTGTTCACTAGGAACCAAACTATTCCAACACAAATAACGATATTGAAACTGTATACGTTTAGTTATAAACATGATAAAATCGTAGTTCATAAAAAAGGTAATTGGGAATAGAGATGGCCCTATCTAACCTATAACGTAGTCCTTACATTCTCTTGAATGTGTAGGTGTAATGTGACTAATATTGCACCATTATTAATGGAGCACTAGCCTTATCATCAAATGTAATGAAATTCCCCCAAAATAACACCATTCTATTTGACGTCATGGTTTTCTGTCTTTGATAACGTCAGAGAAGACGACACCGGTATTTTATTTTTATACTTTTTAAAAATTCCTGGAGAAATAAAGTAAACAGTTTCATAGCCTGTGATCACAATATTGAAAAGAGAATGAACCCATTGATAACATAATGCAAAACGAGATGAATAATTAGTAAATTGTTTGTGAATAACGCGCACCTGGCGATTAATTAGATATCACAGTTATGTGTATCAAAGACATAAAAAACAATTCTAAAACCAAGACAATTCTTTCAGAGATGTGTGCATATTATTTTAACGAAAAATATTATCCATTTTGTTAAAAGTAATACATTTAGTTTTAGTTATAAAATAAAATGAAACTTCTATTCTGGACATTGGTTATATGAACTATATTGACTATTACACATCCCAAGAAATACGTACATGCTGCAGTTACATTTACGTAATACCGTATTCGACACTATATACCTATCAATTGTTATGCAAACAATGTTCAAACAAACAGGAGATTATGAAAGGTTCGTTCGTACATGTTATGGCCTATATTTACGTATATCATTTTGAACATTGACGAATATCCAAAGTGAAATTAATTGTGTGAAACAATGTATAAAAGATATGCAAAATCTACATAATAACTAAAACTGTAAACAACATGGTTACAATGATCGTGTGCACTCTCATTCAAGGACCTTCACCTCAAAGAAATGACCAAATATGTACAACAATGTTGACGTATCACTACTAAATGGCGTGTTTACTGTCAACAGTACGCGAGATTTTACAAGGGGACTTTCGTTGATTCAGGGATCGTATATACATACATGTAACATGTAAGTAATCAGAAAAACTCTGACAAACTACGTACTGTTATTTGTTGTTATAATTTTCATTTAAACCAACGGAAATAGTCAGAAATTCCGATAAATACCGTTGTCGTTGTGCTTAATTTTGCGTCGGTCATGGCGTCACACAGGACGGTAACTGACAATTTATGTTGAAAATATCAAAGCATTGCAATGTATTCCCTAATTCTTCCTACGATTCTCTTCCCATGCTTATTCTGTTAAATACATGTTGAGCCAATATCTTAAACGAATAGACGAAAGGATAGCTCAAAATAGGAGAAAATGCTACACTCTGTAAAATCTGAATTTTGCTTTGTTTACATTTCAAACAAGTGCAGTTTTCGAGCACAGCGTTCGTTTTCACACCTAACATTTTTTGCTTGATTTCATCTAGGCACTTTGTATTGGTGACAAAGACCATTAGTTATTTGCTTCTAAAATGTATGAGGAATTCAAGGATGTATGTATCGCAGCTACGTTTGAAATATACGTGATGTTACAGGCGTCTCATAACCAGTGTACGTGAAATGTTTGGCCTAAAATCCCAGTGGATGATATCACAGAACAGGGAATTCCCACCTTATTCAAAACTGTTTGGGTGATGTATTTTGAAAGTAGGGGTTGAAAAGGAGGGAGATATATGTCCCTCTTGCATCCAGGGGGTGAACCTTAAAAGAAATAAAGCTGCTGGGTTAGATTGTGTTGAAAACGATTATTTTATTGATTCTACAATTCATCTAATACCACTCCTAACTGATTTCTTTAACTTGATACTTCTGGATTTGTACCAGATTGCGGGCTGAAGGGAATAATAAAACCGATACATAAGACACCTAGATCCAAACTCATATAGACCAATAACAATTCTCAGCTGTTTCGGAAAACTCTTCACAAGTATTCTTAATGCGAGGCTCACTGAGTTTGTAGAAACTAATAATATTGTAACTCCAGCCCTAGCAGGATTCAGAAAAGGTTTCTCCACAAGAGACAATGTATTTGCTGTACATGCAATCAGGGAAAATTTAAAACAAGCAAAACGAAAACTCTAATGCGTCTTTATTGATTTTACAAAAGCATTCGACACTGTTTGGAGGGCTGGTCTATGGTATAAATTGCTAACTTAGGGTATACATGGTAAATTTCTTAACTTAGTAAAGAATATAAGATAAGAATAACATATAATCCCCTGTTATGCTAAATAATCAAATATCCCCATTCTTCCCATGCAACATTAAGACAAGGCGAGATCTTTCGCCACTTTTGTTTTCACTTTTTATTAATGATTTTGAGCCCTCCCTACTTGAACGAGGAAGTAAATGTGTGATTAAGATTACCAAAGCGAAACCAATCTAATATTTTGGCTACAGTTTATTGTTTTGTTATATGCAGATGATGCTGTACTTATTCAGTGAAGACCCCGCAGACCTACAACAATCATAGTTATTGTTCACGATGGAAACTAAATGTAAACTTATCCAAAACCAAAATCATAGTGTTTGGAACCAGGCCTGCTAGAAACAGCAATCTGTAAAAATCAATCACCTTTGGCAATCAAACTTAAGAAATTGTCGATAATTATATTTACCTTGGAATAAAGTTTCACAGAAACAGGAAATTTGTAAAAGCAATCAATGCCTTAGTAGAAAATGCAACAAAGGCTTTGTTCTCATTACTAAAAAAAGGACGTGATATTAATCTGCCTTTTGGGATTGTTTAATATCCGCAATTGATTCTTTGATTTCCCCGATCCTAATGTACTGTTGTGGAATCTCGGCATTTGAAAACATAAGGAAAATAGAAAAGGTTCACTTAAAAATTCTTAAACTTACAGCAGGTCTTCGAAATGCAACACCAAACTTATATGATCTATAGGGAGATCGAAGGGAACCCCTCAGTATCAAAATTTACAAACGTGTTATTCTATTCTGGCATAAAATGGTAATCTATAATCAAACTCCAAAATTAACAAATATGCTCTATAATTTTATCACTCTTGACTACGCTTGCATCTCTGAAAAACTTCCATGGACAACACTTGTCAAGAAAATATTAAACAACTGTGGTCTCGGTGAAATATTTGACAACCCGCTAATGTATTCTTCTCCATGGCTAGCTTTAAAAGTTGAAGAAATATTGGATACATCTGAATGGCCTAATATGTAAAAAATTTAAAAAAATGTTTATCCAGCATTAGAGTAAAAGCTATGAAAAGCTTGTCAAAATTCTTCAATACCATATTTAGAAATGTTGAAGCTGTTCGAAAACGTGTATGAGATTCTGGTTACTCATATTTCATTGTAACCTTAGACCACGAAATGTATCTGCACAATTCACCTGTCATCTTGATACTGATATTTTTATTATATTATGAATTTATATTATAATCTTTCTCATGTACCACCGTTGGTGAGTTTTTATGAGAATAAACTGAACTGAACAGTAGAGGATTAACAGTAACAACAGTTGCATTCATGACCGGGACAACATGAGTACGTAATGACAACAGAAGGATAATACTGTCAAAACATGACAGTCATGTTGTGACAATATTATCCTTCTGTCGCCGCACACAATTCCAGCTATAATTATGACGGCCGTATGTAAATATTTATTAATCTTTTCGAGAAGTTCACAAGAGTCAGGAAGTGAATGGCGAAGAACACCGAACTGAGCAGAATGCCAGTAAAGACTCTGGATCCCGGTAAACCAGTGTCTGAAACCATATCTCACCTTTCCACTGGCAAGGGTTGGTTGGTTTGTTGTTTAACGCTACACTCAGCAATATTCCAGCTATATGACGGCAGTCTGTAAATAATCGAGTCTGGACCAGACAATCCCGTAATTGACATCATGAGCATCGATCCACGCAATTTGGACACGATGACATGCATCAACCAAGTCAGCGAGCCTGACCACCCGATCCCGTTAAGTCGCATCTTGCGACAAGGATAGTCGCCTTTTACGGCAAGCATGGGTTGTGGAAGACCTATTCTAACCCGGATCTTCACGGGTCGAAAACATATTAGACAAAATGACAAATGCATAGTTTTTTAGAAGCATCGTTCTGCAAGGTATTGTAAGTTAATACTATTACCTTATCGACCGACAAACAAAACTAGAGTGTGTGATTTAACGTAGATGTCTTTTACGTTTTTATGCAAATTGTGTGAGTGGGGGTTGCTACCGGTAGGGCAGGACATGTTTATCCTTTTCATCAACCAAGTCAGCGAGCCTGACCACCCGATCCCGTTAATCGCCTCTTGCGACAAGCATAGTCGCCTTTTACGGCAAGCATGCGTTGCGGAAGACCTATTCTAACCTGGATCTTCACGGGTCGAAAACACATAATGAACAACAAAAGTTCATGTGACATTGAATAAGATTTAATGAAAAGTTATGTTTTTCACTAAAACTGAAACAATTTCGGTTTGCAGATAAAAGACTCCTGAAAGTGTTCAAATGGTTTAATTTGCCATACTGACCTCAGAAAATGCGTGATTTCATAAAAAATGTCAATTAACAAATCAATAGTGTGTGTCCACCTCTGTTTGCGATGCAAGCAACACATCTTCGTCTCATGGAATGGACCAGGCGTCGCACAAAGTCCTGTGGGATATCTGTCCATATCTGCTGGAGCATGTTTTATAGTTCCTGGAGTGTCTGTGGAACACGTGGTTGACGTCGAAGGCGCCGATCCATCTCATCCCACATGTGCTCGATTGGTGAGAGATCAGGGTAGCGAGCCGGCCAGGGGATGACATTCACGTTGTTTTGTTGAAGAGAATCCTGAACAAGTGGAGCAATATGAAGCCGGCCGTTGTCATGTTGAAAGGTAATGCCTGGGCCATGACGACGCAAAAACAGTAGAACGACAGGGCCGATGATTTCGTCGCGGTAGCGCTGTCCATTGAGATTTCCCCCTACCACTATCAAACAGGTCCTCTGTCTTGCTGTAATCCCACCCCATACCATAACGTTGCCGCCCCCGAAACGATCTTCTTCCATGGCACAATGATTGACGTAACGTTCACCTCGACGTCGGTACACTCGAATCTGTCCATCGCTGTGGCTGAGTTTAAAACGAGACTCGTCAGTAAATAGAACGTTACCGCGTCCTCACTGCCGTCCAGCGTAGAAGCTGTCTGCACCACTGTAGACGTGCTTGACGGTGGTTTCCTGTCACAATGGGACGTCTGGCGGGTCTTCTGGTGACAATCCCTGCACATCTGAGGCGGCGACGTACGGTTTGTGAAGATATTCGTCGAAGGCCAGGGATGCTTCTTGCAGTCACTGTTGCTGGCTGGAATCGATTTCGTAGGTGTGCTGTTCGAATCCAGCTGTCTTGTCGATTATTGGTTACGCGAGGCCTTCCACTCCGAGGATGGTCTCTGACTGCATTCGTCTGTTGCCAACGTTGCCATAAACACCAAATGGTGTTTCTGTGAACGTTAAATTGTCTTGCAACATCACGTTGACTCGATCCTGCTTCAAGCATACCAATGGCTCGCAGACGCTCATTTTCGGACAGGCGTGGCATTTCGTAATGTTGAATAATTGCGTAATTGCTACCGGTAGGGAAGGAAATGTTTATCCTCTTCGTGGTCACCTGTTGTCATCACTGATTTTCTGTGACCGATTCATACATTTTGCTATTTTGCCTTTTACACCAAAAGGAAATTCCATATGTTTGGGCGGAAAAGTGAACAGTTAGAATCATTAACAATACAGTTTGGTGTATAATGGTTATGGAATATAGCGAATTATATTAAACAGGATAAACTCTCACAAGGCACTATGAAACATTCGATACAGGTAATGGCGACTTACCACAAGCTTGGTGACATGAAAAACTTCAGTTCCTATTCCAACCCTTACATTCTGACTGAATATCACGAATCTCGTTTCTTTGGGAAAACGAAGAGGGTCGTACTGAAATCTCAGGAACAATTAATTTCAATAAATAAATCATCGGTACAGAGTAGGAAATATTGATTTTAGTTTCCAGTACCCGCACGGCCAACGTTACAGCCAGTCAGAAACATTCCAGGTTTATGACGGCGGTATATTATTTATCGTGGTTGCGCAAGTCAGTTCTGTGATCGACGTCATGGGTATCGATCCACGCATTTGGGATACAATCACATGCAATCAACTAAGTCACCCGATCCGACCACACATATTTAACGTTTAAACAGTGATGGATATACTTTGAATGACATGGTCCACAATACCCAATCATGCCGACAATAATTTAACACTATGTTTTAACGTTCGTCGATGACACAGCCACTAACAATCTCAGTTAATAATAACACAAAAAACAATTGTACATGAAAATGCATCATACAATCCTGTCATATATGTTTTGTTGACATTACCAGCTGTAATTTAATGTGTCACTGTCGAACGGGCACAATTATATAAATAAGCATTTGTTGGAACAATAGTTGTTTTCTGGTAAAACGTTTAACAGATATAATGCCTTGATGTTAAAGTTATGACACAATATCGTCTTCTGAAATGTCCGACAGGCAACGTGTCCTTTCATGGACAATGCCACGACAAGAGTTCAGAATGCTATGCTCAGATATAGCAACCTCAACATTGGTAAACTGACTGATTGATAATTGATTGAGAGTTTGCTGTTTCCAGCAGACAGACAGTATGCTCTCGGGTTACGCTTTGTTACCTCTTCACAGTATCACATAACATTATATGACATTTTATTTGAAACTAAAAGGCTACTGAAGCAAGGTTTATCTGCCTTCAAAAAGCATTCGATACAGTTTCCAAGCGAGTAATAACGTTGTTGAGAACTAAATTTGAATTTTGTAAAAATATTCAAAAGTGTGTCAATGTACTGATGTCAAATGCCACCTCTTGAGTTATACAAAATGGACATGTACACCTGTCATATATTTTTGAAAACGAAAAGGGCTGTGGACAAGGATATCCACTTTCACCCTATTTATTTGTAGTTGTGTATATTAGGTATATTAGTTATTAAGATCAGACAAATTATATTTACAAGGGATTACCTCAAATGACACAAAACATAAATTAGGACAGTATTCAGATGATACTGCATTATCCCTAGACGACTCTGATGCCTCCCTCAACGAAGCCATAAACACAATAACCAATGTTTACAGAATGTCTGGACTACAAAAGAGGCAGGATCAATGACACAACGTCAAAGAAATATCAATCAAGACTTAGATTGAGACTGGAATAAAGGAGATTTTAATATAATAATAATTATGCTAAAACCCCATTTAACAGATCTTTGGGTGATAAACACCAGAAATAGAATTGAAATAATCAAGAGAACTCTTTCAAATAGGAGAAAACGAAACCTTACTTTAATTGGAAAAATTACTGTAATTAAGACATTGTCATTCTCAGCATTAGTACATATAATAACATATTTCCCAAGTCAGCTTAAAGAATTTATTAATGATATAAATTAGGTATTTTATTCCAATTTATATTGAACGATAAGAACATTCAAGGTTGACAATCTTTCCTGGAAAGACACACTGGATGCTTGGTAAAAATACTTGAAGAATTCTACTTCAAACGATAAGAAACGTAAACGAAATGTTTACACAATCACTGTGGCTTAACCATCAACTCAAATATCCAGATTTCATAATCAAAAATTGGTATAAGTAGGGAATGTCTTACCCATAGGGTTAGGAATAACCGAGTTTTGTAACAATCGTATGTGCACTGGTGCATATATCCCTTTACCCCGACCAGTGTATTGTTTACGTCATCTAGACGGCATTGTTGAGGTCATTCAAATCTTAGTGTGACGTGAGGTCGGAATGATGCACCCTAGAAACGACGTCATAGTTGTAAATTATTGACTTCATTCGACAATTATGGTTTTCTAAAACGGCATTTTTGTAAAGCGGAGATTAACCCTCTGGATACCGAGTTTTTGTCTTAAACACATTTTCCTAAGATCGGAAAAGTGAAGGTTGTGCGAGAATTGCGCTCACGCGGCACTGGATCTACCTCTGGCTATAAAATTACGCAGAGATGGAGAATGTTAAATTTCCTATCTGATGCTGTGAATTTAACTGCAAATATTAAACCAGTTTTAAAAAATACACTTCTAAGTGTTGTCCGAGAATTTATTCTGCGTTGAAAAACAGTAAATTTCTCCGCTTTTTATGGTACGACGATAAAAGTACTGTGCGACGAGGTTTTTTATTCAGACGTTTTACGGAAACTGCGAGCGAACAAAAATACTGCTAATATCTGAACGACATAACTATATATCAAATGGAGTTATACGCGTATGTATAACGACATACATTCAATGCCAAAAATAGCCTGCCGTAAATGACGTCAAAAGGCGTCAAAGAGGTTACACACGTTCAAAGAAAAGGGGACATAACTCCGCTATGCTTAGCACCAGTTTATTGTAACTCAGGCCACTTTGAGAGAAGTTGCGGGTAAGGACAATATATTGGTGTTCTGTTCTCTAGGAACCAAACTATTCCAACACAAATATCGATATTCAAACTGTAAACGTTCAGGTATAAAAAGACCCATGAGAAATGATGAAATCGTACTTCATCAAAAAGAGGTAATAGAGAAATGGATGGCCCTATCTAACCTATAACTTAGTCCTTAGATTCCACATTCTCCTGAATGTGTAAGTGTAATTTGACTAATGTTACGCCATTATTAATGAAGCACTAGCCTTATCATCAAATGTCAATATGAAATATGAAATGAAATACCTAAAGAATAACACAATTCTATTTGACGTCATGGCTGGTTTTATGTCTTTGATAACGTTGCAGAAAGACGACATTGGTATTTTGATAAATATATATCTCCCCTAATTTTCGTTCATGGTATGGAAAATCTCGATGTGTAAAACGGAATTTGACGCTTTTCCGACACAATATAAAATGACTGCTTTCACCATGCAAATAATGTCTTGAATATATAAACAATAGTTATCGTGAATCTTGATAATTTATCGTGTATCTTAACTGGACAAGACATGCACCTGTTTGGCATCAATTTACGTAATGAAATACCAAAAAGAATATTTCAAAACAACCAAAATCATATTCAATATTGGACATATATTTGTTTATTATTATCTGACGATTTCTCTTAATCTCGTCTCAGAATTACACAATACAAGATGTGAAGAAAGCTCTATTGGTATAGAATTATCAGGGCAATCGTTTAAAGTTGAACCAACGAGGTACCTGGAATTGGTTTTGTTTTTATATTTTTTGCAATTCCTGGAGAAATAAAGTAAATACTTCAATATCCTGTGATCACAATATTGAAAAAAAAAGAATGAACCAATTGATTATACGAGGGGTGTTCATTAAAAATTTCCCTTGACCCACTTCCGATGGACCGAGTGGAATGAAACTTGGCATAGGAATTAGTCTATCTCAACATAGGAACCACCAAGAGTTACACACTTCTCCCATCGTTTTATGCAACTATGGAGACCTCGCTTGTAAAAGCCCTCATTTTGCGTGTTTCATCATCTGTGAAACGTTTTCCCTTCAAAAATGACTTCATGGTTGGAAAGAGGTGGAAGTCAGATGGTGCAAGGTCAGGAGAGTAAGGAGGATGTGGAAGGATTTCATAGCCACAGGACCGCGCTTCTGTCTGGGCAACATGAGAGTTGTGTACTGGAGCATTGTCTTGCAGGAGACGGACACCCTTGGTCAGCATGTCACGCCTCTTAAGCTTAATAGCGTCCCGCAATTTCAGCAGTAGTGAAGCATAATAAGCTCCTGTAATCGTGGTACCCTTTGCCAAGAAATCCATCATCACTACTCGTGCTGGTCCCAAAACACCGTGAGCATGACCTTGCCTGCAGAGGGATGGACACGTTTCTTCTTTGGGGGTGGTGACTCCACATGCTTCCATTGCATCGACTGAACTTTAGTCTCAGGATCATAGTGATGGACCCATGTTTCATCCTGTGTGATAAGACTGTCAAAAACGTTTGCCTGAGGGGGGGGGGGGGGGGGGGCGACCAGGAATGGCAGCTGTTTCCACAGATGTCCGACCACACTTGAACTGGCGATGCCAGTGTTTAACAACGTCATCCCCATAAGTTGCTTTCATTTCATCGAAAGTTTCTTTTGGTGTGCGACCTTTCAAATATAAAAACCTAATCACTGCTCGGTATTCTACTGGCTCCATTGTCACACCCTACTCGATCATAACACCTGTAGGGGCGGTCGGGTAGCGCACCTGGCGAAACGTAAGATATAACTGTTCTGTGTATCAAACGACAAAAACAATTCCAAGACCAATACAATTCTTCCAGAAATGTGTGCATACATTTTAACGAAAAATATTATCCATTTTGTTAAATTAATCTATTCAGTTTTAGTTATAAAATGAAATGAAACGGCTGTTCATGGACATTGGTTATATGAACTTATAATATTGACTATTACACATCCCAAGAAATACGTTTATGCTGCAGTTACATTTACACTTCATCTTGTAACACTTGTCCAAAGGAAATACATATCGTATTCGACACTATAAACCTATCAATTCTTATGCCAATAATGTTCAAACAAACAGGAGATTATCAAAGGTTCGTTCATACATGTTGTGGCCTATACCTACGTATATCTTTTTGAACACTGACAAATATCCAAAGTGAAATAAATTATGTGAAAAATGTATAAAAAATATGCAAATTCTACATCATCACCAAAAACGGATCTTATCTGGCAAATTCTTTACTGTTTCTGGGCGGTCGGGTAGCCTGGTGGTTAAAGCGTTCGCTCGTCACGCCGAAGACCCGGGTTCGATTCCCGACATGGGTACAATGTGTAAAGCCCATTTCTGGTGTTCCCCGCCGTGATATTGCTGGAATATTGCTAAAAGCGGCGTAAAACCATACTCACTCACTCACT